GGAATACAACGTAGTGTGGAGGAAGAACCTTGCGTATCAACCGTCGCCTACATGGTTTATTTGGCCGAAGCAGTCAATTTTGTCATTGAGGGCGTACATCAGAAGGTAATGTTCCTTTTTGACATATGTAGTCTCTGCGTATACTTCGGGTCTTGATACTGACGAGGCAAAGCACTTTCTTCAGGACTAACTACAGCGGCTGTTAGACCTCATTAAGGACAGTATTTCATACGCATAGCTCAAAATGCAACGGTGGCATTGCTCAGGCGGCTCTGTGTTAGCAGATAATACACTGAATCAAGATTGTTGGGCTCGACCCGACGTAGTACGTATTCGGTATCAGTTGATGAAAGTATCGTACTTTCGGTAGGCTAGCATAGTGCACGAAATACCTCCATAGGCGGATGAAATCGACGATTGTCATTTTATCCGAGTTGTTAGATCGGATACCTCGTAGGGCTCTGGCCATTTTATTATGTGGATAACCACTCGCAGGCACATGTAAGCCGCCAAAGGCACCGCTGTTTCAGACCTCTCTACCTCTGAGCTTCAAAAACCGTCGGTCGCCTATGGTCTGTCAAGGTCAGGACTAACATATACTGTTGATTTTCCATCGGCCCAAAATCGGGCACTTTTAAAAAAGTGCTGTCTAGACGCGGCCGATCAAGTAAGCTAGATTTTCGAAGGTTCCACACGGCTCACATCTCGAGCTGTCCAAGTACGAGATGCTAACCACATAAACCCGCATGATCGCCATTGGAGATCAGACCGCTTTATCTGTGTATGTAGCGGCCACAATCCTACTACAGGCGTGTCCTCAGCAGTACTTTTCACGACCAGAGGCCTGTGACGAGCTATTCGCCAATCTCTAGCTGGTATACGTAGCGGTATCGGATATCATGAAGTAGCTAAATAATGACTACCTAGGTAGTTTGAATCTTGTCATTGGTTATGGATGTCCTTATAAATCCAAGCATATTTTTTAAAAGGCATGCATAAACAATATTCTTTCTTGCGACCATTCTGTCGTTAATTGCCTTTGCTTTAAATGTCCTTTGAAAGAGCTTATCTCCCAGATCCAAAAAGTTCTTCAATTCCCGGCTAACACTGAACCCGACCTGTCGTTCCACTTGGGTTTACGGTTCCCAAGCTAAAACCCGTAGCCTTCCCATTTAAAAACTATCCTGTATTCCCCTATGTCGCTCCGAAGATACCATACAGGACTCATTAAATCTGACAATGAATATAAATGACATATACGTTATAAGAAGTACCAATAAACGGACAGATACGAGGCTATCTGCATAGACCTTTTACGGCCTTAAAAATTCCGTTAGAAGCCTTTTTAAATTGCAAGCTACCCTAGGGGTAAAAAATGTGAAATCGAAATTTGTTACGGAAAAAGTATAGTAGGACATTTTGTGCATGATTCCCGTAGGGTGTTTACATTAGAAGGGTAGTCGAAAATAAATTAACATGCACACTGCTCAAGTAGTAATTGTTATCGAATGTGCTTCTTGCTGGCGGCCGGAAAGACGCGCATTTAAGAGCCAGCATTCTGACATGACTGGGATATTTTGAATATGCTGCATGGTAATTAGCAGTTCAACCCTACCTAAGTAATCCCTACTAGCCGAAATCGCACTTCAGAATTCATGTTAGTGTTTAATGAGATATCCCAGTAGGAAGAAGGCTAATTCCAGATTAGGGTGACGATCGCCAAGCTCCCAAGTTCCATCTAGAAAAACACTCATCGGCAAAGATCTCAGTGAGGACCTTCTGTCTGGTGGTCTTACTGCATTTCTCGACCACATAAGTGCGGAGGGTCGATTCTGACTGGTATCCTTGGGTTATCGGTTCCTGTCTGTCTAGAGACATCAGCCATCCGCTAGCGTTATATATAAGCTTCTGATACAACTAATCAGCAATTCCAATCTTAAATCTGTAGAATCTGACATTGCAGTAGAGGGGAGTAACCGTCAATGCGCTAATTCCAAGCAGGAACACGGTTGTGGAAATCTCAGAACCAGTTTTCTGAAGTAATGTACACCGGGGAGACGAACGCAAAGAATCATGGCGAACTCGAAACCATAGTCGGGGATCGGATGTGCATCTGCGTATTCTTAATGCTGAATGAAACACCCTACTCACTTTCAGCATAGCTCATGGCACTGATATTGTCCACTAATACCTCGACACTAGGCGGAAAATTCATTTCAATGCCCTCGGCGCGACGTACGACACGACTTACGCGCCATTAGGAATGTCGTTCTTGGTAGGGTTGTGACCATCCCTAATCTGGGCGGCCTGGATGTCGCAAACTGTGCCTCTCCATGCGCGACAGTCCGCAGCGGCATACCTCTAGCGACGGAGACAGAATACCGGAGGTCTGAGAACCATTTACGTCTTGACGATCTGTCGAATCAAGTCTTCAGTTGACACATATTGCATGATTTACCATACTGACAGCACGTGTACTAGCTAGCTGGTTATCTGCTGTCAGTATGATTAATCATGTAGTACGCACATGCTACCGGTGGTCTGTTGGCAGCTTGAGTATTGCGGGGTGGCTCCGCTGTAGCTCATGGATTTCGGCTCAAATATTCATATAAATGCTCGGAATGAGCCTTTAAAGATTCATTCCGACTTATTTGCTCCGAGATGGTGATTATTTTCTGAGATTAGAAAGTTTAAATTTTGAGGTGGCCTTCTCTTTGAGACCTCCAGGTCGGCAACGGCGCCAGATCGAGAGCAACACTGAATGCACAGGGCGAACATAGGACGTGCCCAAACCACTTCAGCCGTCTTTCTTGGATGGCCGCAGACGTCTATGCGGTGGCGTCGTTGTGAAAGCGGACAGCCTTACCTCACTCAAAATATGTTCCTCAGGCACTGGTGGCCAAACACCTGTTTTCGTTCATTTTCCACTCGCATAGTCCACGATTCACAACCGTACAGGACTGACCGGATGAATGCACAGTACACGCGGACCTATTTGGTGATTGAGACGTCGCGTCAGACCCATACACACTTTTAAGGATTGTAAAAAAACTGCAAGAAGGATTGACTTGAAAGACAAGGTCGTCCTTACATTGTCAGTGTGGCAGCAGTTCGTCCCGAGGTATTTTAAACTGTCTAATTCTTAAAGTTGATAGTCACTGATCCCGAGAGGCGTCCTCTCTTGAGCAAGAATACAGCACGAAAACACGTTGGTCTTCCAAGTGTTTATTAATAAACCGAGAGATTTAGCGACTTCATTCACCCGTAACATCGTAGACTACGGATCATCCAAACTAGAGGCCAGCAAGGCGATGTCGTCAGCGTAGTCAAGAACAGACAGTCGCCTTCTGAGCGCAAACATCAGAAATGGGTTCGTCACTAAGTAACCTGGAAATTATTTCTTTAAATTTGGTTTGGTGCTAAGAAATCGGCAGTGGATGCGAAAATTTCGGGAGTTGCAAGAGTATGGGGTTTTAGGGTCACGCTTTACCAAAAACCGTGAGATAGAGGGCTGCCCACGGGGCCGTAAACCAAAGTTTGCAATTTTTACTCAAACAGAAGGCCAATTACTTGAGAATCACGAACAAGCAAACTGAGCCTGTCAGAATCAAGCAATTTCGAGACATTAAATGGCTCCCGTTTTGTGCTGGGCAGTGTGAATTAGCATCATAGGCGTCAGAGAGTGTGGTCAGACGCCTTTTTAACGTAAATCATGGCACGGTAGCCAAGTGCGAAAATGCTTTTCTTCGCACAACCGAATTAGGGAAAAAATCGATGTCCCGAAATCTTTAGTTCAAAAGCACATATCAAGATAGATTTTCGACTATATTTTATTCGGAAATTCGTTAGCAATCAGGTCAAAAAATAATATTCATGGAGGTAAATACAGTGAATCAGTTCAGAAGGAAATTCTGTGGATCCTCGCAAAACTCAAAACGCTCCACCATTATGCCGGCAACCCACCAAACTAAACGGCAGAGTAAGTCACAAATGAAAGTGCACCTGAAAGTTCATAATTTCCTCATCTGACAACGCCTTACGGCAGAAATTGGGATTCAGTTCGATCTCTACCGGAGTCGCCGCGAGAGCTGGTGACTTTTTCTCTATTAAATAGAAATTCTGATGTTGAAGCGAGCAAATGCATGAAAAATCGTAAAATACCGCAAAAAATCCAAATTCAAGATAGCAGTGGCATGAGCCAAATCAAAACGTGCTGTTGATTCAGCATTTTCTAGATTGGATAGGGACAGTGCACAAGCGTCTTTTACAATCAGCTTTGGAGTTAATTATAACTATCTACCTGTCAATTAACAAGACTTTCGCCTCCCCGACTCTCTTCCGTTAGTCACATAAAAGTTACCACAGAGTTATGACGTTAAATGCTTGGTCGACAGGCACCTGAAGAAGCAGAACAATCGTCTAAAAACTAACAATAACGACGATACAAAGCAGTAAGTCTGGATTTCAAAAAGGGGTCGCTCAGCCTTTTAACGCTGCGCGGCCCTGTCAATAGCTACTCCTCGAGAGCAGACGGGACCGGCTGACTGGCCTCGACGACTCTGATACTGACACGTGGGCGTCAAACTGGTAGTCTAAGAAGCCGCACTTTAGATGAAGGAGGTTGCCAAGCCAAACTGACTACCCACCAAAACTGAGAACAGAGATGTACCAGCGAACTGAACCTCTGGCCGGTAGAGACATCCCGTGATTAACAGCTGTCAGCTCATAGTAGGTCGTTTAGAGTAGCCAGGTTTCCAGTTGTTCCCATAATGGTAGAGTAAGGAGGGCGCCAGCCAGATTGACGTTGTTGTAGTGCTTATTAAAGCCCTTGAAATACAAGATGTGGTATTTTAATTTCCGTAAAGGCTCACATGTGCCAGACATCGCTCCAGTCAGTCCGCCCTGGCGCTTATGAATGCTCAGTTGCGAGAGAACGACCTTTCGAGTGAGATGCACCGACTTCGTCCCCAATAATGCAATGTGCATTGACTGGAAAAACATAAGGAGGATATCTGAAGTCATTGGGGACTGCTCCACGCCGCCCTATGCTCACCTAAACTCTATAGTTTTGCTTAGCTGGGGTCGGCAAGAATGTAGGTTCGAAACGTCATTCGATAAAGTCCGTCAAACAATAGCGTGGTTCTTGGGCCTTTGGTATGTAGTCTTCGCGGCCGGAGAATGGAGTGGGGTGAATGACTATGACTTGCTGAAGATGAGTGATGCGCGCCGAGGCATTATCTGTGACGTTTATCTGGCCGAACAGGTTTGATCCAGTAACATCTCTCTCGTGCAAATGCCCCTAAGTATGCGACACATGGCAGTCCAACTAAGACAAACCTACACATAACACAAAATAGATCCATTAGAGAGTCAATTTTCAGTTTAAACTTCAGAGTTCGTTCCATCTGTTAACAATACTTCTTAGACAGTAGTTAGATTTATACGCCAACTCTCTTCGAATGCAAATGGTAAGCAACTATTGGGTGAAGTGCGTGAACACGCAGGGCCCTCAGCAAAAGAGCTAGGCAATCGGATAGGTGCTACGGATGTTCGGCTTCAAAAGTCTGCGACGAAATTTACTTATATAACACGCACATATGCGGTTCCGCAGCATGGGGATGCATGTTCTACTATGCAACCCACAGGTGCGCACATCTCTTTATGAATTTTCAAGTGCGGTTGTTATGGATGTGTAACCAACAGGCGACTCCTAAAGCGATCAGTGAAAGTACCTCTGCCATTGTCAACACATATACGTACAAGAAGAATCAAATAGCCGACAAATGCAACGGAGGCCGAAATGGCCACATCTGTTTTGTTAGACGTCATCAGCCGGCCATACACAACCCCACGCCAATAATCTAGAAATCGCCGTTCCGCTCCCCCTAGTCTTTGTCGGTAACCTCATTTTGCATATATTAATAGTCGCCGTACGACTGCCTGCGGGGTTCTAGATAGAGTTCCAAGGCATAAAGAGAAGAGTAGGTCCCGTAACGCGATCGATGAGCGCCGTACGCCGTCTATCAGTTTATATATATACACAACCATCAATGGCAGTGCTTACCAGCTTCGAAATTTTTTTGCGACCGGAATTTTATTAGAGGTGTGTGTTTTTTCACTGATAAGACAGAAAAAAGCCTCACAGAGCTTATTCGATGGACTACCGTCGACGGCCTGAAAAAGACGACAGACATCGCAAGGGACGCGCCACCACTGCCCGCTGGCTAAAAGAATTCGTGTAACAGCCCAAATAGAGCATAGGGTACTGACCTTGTTTTAATAAACAAGCGAATACTCATCTTGTAGATAATCCCCGGCCAAGCTCGTCACATGGGCCTGATCAAAGCCTGTGATCCACATACCCGATAAGTTCCACCCTCGTTTGTTCTCTCGTTGATCGTTGCTACATTTTGCTTTCCAACTTCTGTCTTTTTTCGGGTTAACCCTTTACTCTGATGAATGTACATATTTTCCCAACGATGCCTATTTTGTTAGTTTTTGCATTCAGTTCATTAATCTTTTTCTTTTGACGTCTACACACGTTTACATACTCTTCAGCACCTGCCTATATTCTTCCCACCTAACGTCCAACTCTGGTGTGTTTAAGACTGTCTGTGAAGAATGTTGGATGCCCCGCGTTCAGATTCTCAAGTCAACCCTCAGATTATAAAGAAGAGGAGACTGTCCCCATGTGATATCGCTTCGACCCCTACTGATCCATCCGAAACTGGCATAACAATGTTGGTAGACGGTGAGCGTACCAGCCCTTAGTTCCATTCCGCCCCTCCACCTCCCCGCGCACAGACCCCACGTACCTGGAAAACGTTCCCAACCCCTACGGCCCCAGCCTTTTACTAGTGCCTGAGATGTACGAAACAGACGAAAAACATCCGTGAATGGTTGCGTGATCTCTCGATCCTACTGCTAAATGTACCTCCATACGAACATACTTGTTACTTCTTACGGTTCTTATCTTCCCATCACGCCGACGTGCTTTCACTGCTGGGATTAAACCCACGACGGACTTCAAGCGAGCAACAGAGATACTCGTCCAGCTTTTTGACCCTCCAGGCGCCGCAGGCATTGCCAACCAACGTTTTGCTACCTTACGTCAACACCCCACACAGTCCGTGGACGATTTCGCCTGGCAGCCATAACTTACCCCCAATTTGCGGGAATCAGGCCATGACTGGCTAAATCTCCTCCAATTCATTACCGGCCTACACGACCACAAGGCGACCGACATTCTCCTGTTGCACCCTCCCAGTAACTTATCTTCGGCCATTCGATAGTGCCGACTATATGAAATGCATCATTCTGGCAGTAAGGATGCACCATCTCATGACCGTAAACCCCTACGCCCAATACCTCCGCCTCCCAGCAAGCCGTCCTCTCTACCGGTACTTTTTCCTGACTTCAACCCAGGGTTTGCATATTGTACGGCCTTCGCCCCGCAAGCCAAATGCTGTGGTCACAGCACCCACAGTAAATACACTTTCGTTGTCCCTGCCTATTTAGACACTGTTTCCCATTAACCCCCTCTTACTGCACTGGTTAACTTTTAAGGCCAGTCTGTGCAGGCATTAGTCGACACAGGAGCCAACGTATCTCCCGTGAATCCTGCTATACTATCCCGCAAAACTTATGACCAGATCGAACCTATAAGCTATCCCCGTAGCCTCCGAGCGGCGGACGGTACTAAGATCCCTATACTGGGTCCGATAACTCTCCAAATAGTACTCGAGGGGACAGTCGTTGCGTACCAATTCCTTGAACCACCTGGTAACCAATAGAACCTCGTCCTAGGACTAGATTTTCTAGCGAGTCATGATTGCACTATCCATACTAAAGACCGCCGCCTATTGGTAAATTCTAACCCTACTGCCACCCCTCCACTACAATCGCTCGACTTCGACCACATATACAACGCCCTATTATCAGCTACCATCTTAGACCCTATCAGTATAGACGACATCCTGCCTCCTCCGATATCGCTAGCACCTGAGGCATGTAGTCAACTCCGTGAACGCTTGCTTTCTTTTCCCGATGTGCTCACGTGGACAACCGAGTCCATCGGCAGCACATCCAAGGTGCAGCACGCCATTAGCAATGGTGATGCCAAACCCGTCTGGCAATCTCCACGACGCATACCAACCCCATACCGAGACGAGGTTGATAAAATTTTAGACGACCTTTTAAAGGCACGATTAATTCAGCCCTCTTCCTCACCATGGGCTTCACCCCATAGCTCTACTGCCTAAGAAAGACGGGTCCTTGCGGCTGCGCATTGACTATCGCGCCTGAACGCCGTCACCGTCCGTGACTCGTTTCCCCTTCCCCGTCTAGATGATACCCTCGACACCCTGGGAAGTGCGGCATGGTTCTCCACTTTCGACCTCAAATCTGGATATTGGCAGGTAGAAATCCATCCGAAAGACCGCCACAAAACAGCTTTCACTTTGCCACAAGGCCTGTATGAATTCCAGACACTTCCCTTCGGGCTTTGTTATGCTGCCGTCACCTTTCAGCGACTGATGTATCAGGTGTTACGACTCCTCACCCCCACCAAATGCCTAGTCTACCTGGACGATATTATCGTATTCGGGCAGACCACTGACAAAGACAACCGTAATCTACGAGGGGTTTTAAAAGCGCTCCGCGATGCCGGCTTGACATTAAACCCCCATAAATGCGTCTCTTATACTTGGAAGTACAATTTGGGGGTCACAAAACCTCATCCGGCCATATAGCTGCCCTCCTTGATCGGCTACAACAAATTCGAGCATGGCCATCCCCGAAAACCCAGTCGCAACTCCGTAGCTTACTCGGACTAGCCTCTTACTACAGACGGTTTATCCGGAACTCTGCCCATATAGCCGATCCACTACATAAACTTACAGAAAAAGGCCGGGAATTCAAGTGGTCCCCTGACTGTGAGGAAAATTTAACTAACCGTAGAGTCGCTGTCTGCTCAGCCCCACTTTTTCCCCTCCCTAATCGAAACCCCGACGCACTCACTTTTATCCTTGACACTGACGCTAGTGGGTTCGCCATGGTGGCAATCCTGTCTCAAGCGGATGTTAAGGGGATCGAACACCCGATATGCTTCGCGAGAAACACTATCACTAAGCCTCAACGGAACTACTGTACCTCCCGCAGAGATATTTAGCCATCATAACATTCATCCGCCAGTTTAAGCACCTACTCACTGGTCGCCATTTTGTCCTCCGCACTAACCATTGAGCGCTCCAATGGTTACAATCTATCAAAGACCCCATGGACCAACTCGCACGGAGGCGGGAATTTTTACAAGATTTCGCTTCGCGTGTCAATACCGTCCGGGTCATAAACGTGGGAATTCTGACGCTTTCTCGCGTTTTCCCGATACGCAACCTCCAAACCTAGACCGCAACAGCGCGTCAGTCAACGCGGTCACGATGTCCGAACCCACTCGTTACGTTTGTTCGTCGGCTCAACAGACTGACCCTGACACGGCTATCATTTATAACCACCTATCCCAACATTTCAATAAACCCTCCGAGGCGGACATGAAAGGAGCTAGTCAAAGCGCACGCCTCCTTTGGTACCAGTGGCCCCACCTCGCAACTGACAACAATATCCTCTGTTTCCTCGACCCGTCATCAAACAACTACGCTCAGAAGTGCCAGGATGCTTGATTGACAGCGTAATGCCTGATTTCCACACAGAATTAGGGCATCGCGGCCAACGACGCACCGAACTGGCAGCCCATACACGATTTTGGTGGCCCCAACTCCGTTCTTCCATCCTCCATTTCTGCAATCCTGCACCACTTGCGCACTGTTCAAGTCACCAAACCCCTTTCCCCGTGCACCCATGCAACCCATGATTACGAGTTTTCCAGATGAGCGCGTCGGTGTAGACATTATTAGCCCCCTGCCAATATCCGTCCGTGGATACGAATGTATCCTGGTTATGGTAGACTATTTTACAAAGTGGGTCGAAGCACCCCGCGTCTTTTGAATTCGGTCTGAATTTTTCGAGCACCGAGGGATTTTACTTTTTTACCAGTCTCCTGAGTGCTGAACACCCTGGCGGCCTGTCGGAACGGCCAGTGAACGGCAAGATATATGCCAGAGGCCGCGCGCATGATGGGGAGGGACTTTACAGATATTAACTTAGGGTGAAGTGGATGGACATCATCCAGAATTCGATCAGTAAATTGTCTAACCAATGCGAAATGTGATATTAAGATATCACATAAAAAGACATCAGAAACAGCGACAGCAGAGGAGAGCATTCGGAGGACACGTCTAAAAATGAGCGCATCTATTTTAAAGCACAGCAGAAAAATAACAGGAGAACAACTAAGAATGGGAGGGAGGATGCAGGCATCTGTGAATCTCTGGGTATGTAGTAGAAAATTAAACAAAGAATTCAGTATTTTATAATTCAGTACGTGTAAAAGGAAGGGGGGGAGGCTTTGAAAACCACATTCGCAGACATAAACTGAAAAAAACGTGCACATGCCCATGTAGCTACATGGGTACACCACACCAGCTCTTGTCAAATAAATATATGTCCACAAAGTAAAATGCACACAAATCCTCTTTTAAATGTCTGAACGCATTTTGCCAGAGCAACCGAACTAGGTAGTCTTTTCCATTCTTCAATCACTCGGTGGAAGAAGAAGTTGGCCACCACTTCAAGTTGGCGTACTTTGTCTTCGATTTGTATCTGTAGCTTTGGGGATTTTTTGATTGTGTTAGTTCAAAAAATCGGCAGAGTGAAGTGCACAGTCTACTTATCTGACGAATTTGAAGATCACGATCATATGCCCTCTGTATTGCCTATAAAAGACAGGAAAATTTTTGACATTTTCCCGTCGTTCCTCACAGATTAGACAATTCAGCCCACTAAATAGTCTGGTCGTCATTTTTCGAACGTTCTTCGGGAAAGTGTAGTCTGGCTTCATCCAGGAACGCAACGCCTGAATGCAATATTTTGCTATCGGCCGGATAACGGCTTCGAACACCCGACCAAAGGCCACTCGTTAAGGCTAGGGAAGGATCCCTAGATCGCTCCCGGCATGCCCATTGCCTTCTTTGCTATCTTGACGCAGTGTGACGAAGGCTTGAGAGTGGACGCCATACGCACACCTGGGTCCCAAGACTCGTTTACCAGCTCGAGTTGGTGCCATTCGGTGAAATACTGACATTCAAAGCCCACAACTTGTCTTCAAATAGACCTCAGTCGGATGATTTGGCATTTGTTGAAAATGAGTTTGAGAAGCCCTTAATCACACCTGTGTTGTAATCGATCCAAGCTATTCTGCAAGCTAAGCACATCCTCCGACCTTTCTATTCGATTCCATCCCTTTAGATCATCAGAGAACACTAACTTTTCGCAGGTCAGGCAGTCAAGGCAGCTGTTCACAAATATCCAAAACCGAATGAAACCCAGAACGCCCCCTGCGGAACCCCGCTGTGAAAGATTTCCCACTCCGATTTGGTGTCACCAATGCAAACATCCTGATATCTGCACATGAGAAAGTCAACCGACCATTGGAGTAGGTCACCACATACATTCACACGACGCAGTCTAGATTTTGGCCGTCTGTGTGGAATCCTGTCAAACGCTTTTTTGAAGTCAATTTAGACTACATTTACCCACAAACTCATTCCTGAAGATGTCCTCCAGATTTCTATGAACGTTAGTAGGTTGGTAAGGCAAAATCGACCCCTTTTCTAAATCCGTGTTAATGCGCACTAAGCCAGTTGTTTTCCTGACTATACACCATCAGTTATTTTTCTTGCATTTTCTCCATTAGTTTGCAGTAAATGCTCGTGAGACCCACTGCTCTGAAGTTATTTGTCAAGGTCCTCTCTCCCCCTTTCTATACTGGTTTGCGTTGGCTATTGAAGTTTGTAGAGTTAATTTCAGTATAACTCAGTATGTATAAGCGAGATAGGCATACCCTTTGAAAAGCATATTTCCAGACATAGAGTAAAAAACGCATATAGGTTTACATAGAGATATGGGTACAGGTTATCAGTTCTTATCAAGTCAATTCATGGTCCTCATATAAAATGCCAAAAAGTCTTCGTTTAAATGTCTCAGCGCTTTCCACCAGAACAACCGAATCAGATAGTTTGTTCCAGTCCTCGCCCGCACTTCAAGCTTGGCGTACTTTGGCAAGGATAACAGGCAAGGCCTTTGAAAACTCCATGGATTATTTAGTACCATGTTTATTTAAAGGTAGATATTGCACGTACCGTTTTCAATATGGTTTTTAAAGGCATTGCCTATTACCCTTAAAATATACTGACATACTGACCTGACCAAAGCTAGGACAACAGTATTCGAGTACAGGAAGAACAAGCATTAGATAAAGTCTTAGCTTCATTCACAGAAGGGAAAATTATGTGATATGAATCCACATATCGGTGTAGCCTTGGCCGAGATTCGACCTACATGAGGTGATAAGGCACCTTTATTTGTATATTTTGAACCTAGGTCCTTTATGGTGATGCATGCTGAGAGTGAGTTTTTCTGAAAAATTATGGGAGCAGGAAGTTTGGGAAAACCAAAAGACATGAAAGTACACTTAGATGATGAAAACTCCATCTGCCATGTTGCACTCCATCTGCTTAAGCGTAGTTACTCGGTATTAATTTTTTCAACAAAAACATTTGCGCTCTCCTAAGAATATGAATAAACACACTTGAGGTCATCGGCATAAATAAAAGCTTGCGAATTTATCAATTCAGTTGAAATATCATTGGTGTGGGGAAGGAAGTGTAGCGGACCCAAAACCGTGCATTGAAGTACGCCTCTCGTGATCGAGGGATGTTTTTTCATTGCTCGCTCGTCATTCTTTGTGCCAAATAAACTACTTATTTCAAAACTATGAATTAAGTATTGTATAGGTTCTGTCTACCTGTTCTAATACTCATGTAAAAATGTATTCTTACATGACCCTTACTGAACTGGAATAAAAAATTATTATTAGGTGCCGAGTAGCTATTACCAACCATGACTTACTGGTATCGGTTGGATAGATAGGTCCTGATGAAGTCGAGTAGAGGCGGCCGGATGCCGAGAGCTTCCAATTTTGCCAAAAGACCGCTATGTGGTACCCTGTCGAATGCTTTTTTAAGATCAAAGTTGATGACTACGACTGACTGCTGTTCATTACGAAGAGAAGAGAAGCTTTGCATTTATCTGGATATTCTTAAGCAACTAATGCCTGTTTTTTACTTGAGCCCCTTTTAAAAGTCGCCTTTCAATACAAGATATAATTTTTCCCAGTTTTATTTGACGGTCTTTCAAAATAGTCCTATTTTGTAGAAAAAACCTTTCTAGTGACTCCTTTCCCTACTATCTCTTTCTATTTTTCGTAGTTAAATAACAGTTGCACTTGCTATTAAGTGCGATTTTCCGTATGTTGGCAACGTGTTGACCCTTCTTCTGTAACGAAAAACTTTTCCTGTCTGTAATGCCCCGCAGAGCACGTGCTAAACGGCGAAAGCTTGCGGCCTCCCCACCGTCTCTGGGTGCTAAAATCGTGACCGAAGACATAGCAGGTGCCAGCGTATGTTCTTCGCCGTCCGCAGATCTGATTAACTCACAAAACCCTTCATAACATGTAGTACCTCTTGACACTTCAGTCGTCAAAAAATACGCCTCTGCTAGTCGTAGCAGGCCATCAGCCGGCGAAATAGTCGACCAGTTGATTTATGGCGACATAAACAGCACTTCTGCAAAAGTAATTTAAGTCAGTTTAAGTCAGTTTATTGCGGGAATGAGGCTTTCGCCCTTGAGCTCCCTATTCATATCGATAAACAGAAATAAAGTCATCAATTACATCAGCAAATGCGAAAAGTTAAGAAGTTAGCGGTAAGTGTGAGCTAGGCGCAAACTGCCGCCGGTAAAACAATCATTATTGTATGTACAGTTGGTTCTCAACAAATGAGCGTCTAGTCTGCACTTAAAGGATTTGACATTTTCGGAAAGAACGACGGCGTCAGGGAGTCCATTCCATGCCCCGATGACCCTATGAGAGAAGGCGTTCCGTCGGACGTCCGAATGAGCCCGCTTCCTTTGCAGTTTGAACGGATGACCACGCAGACGGTCAGTCCGGGCCAATTCAAAGAATTCATCAAAGTCTAGGGCACACTCACGGCTTCTGACAATCCTGTAGGTTTGAATGAGATCGCCGCGCAGTTGCCTGCAATTTAGAGGAAACAGATTTAGTTCGGTCAGCCTGGTTTCGTAAGGCAAATGATGAAGATTCTTGACCATCTTCGTAGCCATCGCCTGTACTCTTTCCAGTCGTTGATAATCTTTCTTCAACCACGGTCGCCAGGCCTGGACTGCGTACTCTAAGTGAGACCGGACGAATGCCTTATAGGTTTTTCCGAACAGCTCCTTGTCGATCTGCACAAATCTTCGTCTCAGCGCAAATAACACCCTTATCGCACTTTTGGCTGCCCTTTGACAATCTGAAGATGGTTTCAGCGAGGAGGTCATTAGGACGCCCAGGTCTTTCTGTTCCACAACATTTGAAAGGGGCCGACCACCAAGGACGTATTGAAAGGAATCGTCCTCCTTACTGGTCCGTCTGGTGCGGAGTCTCAGGACCACACATTTGTCCACATTAAAATTGAGGAGCCAGCGAGCTGACCAACTGTTCAGGCGGTTGAGACTGTCTTGAAGCGCGCACCTGTCTGCATCAGATCTGATGGGTCTCCACAGCTTAACATCGTCAGCAAACATCATGGCGCTGCATCCCAGGTCGTCGACGCAGTCGTTAATGTAAACCAGGAATAGCAACAGCCCTAAGACGGAGCCCTGGGGTGCACCACTTAGAACGGGAGTAGGAGTTGACCTTGAGGCCTCAATGCACATTGAACAAGCTTTTAAACTTATGGGGGGTAATAAGTTCGGAAACTGAGGAAAGAATTAAGCGCAAGCATAATTTCGTACTGCGAAACATTCCGAGCCACTTATCTGCTATGGAGGGAGCGCATGTGTTCCTACAAAGTTGTGGCTTGAGTTTCAGTGTCGCACAAGCTAAGCGACTACGCTCGCTTAGCCGTAATGCGCCGATGCTAGTTACCCTTTTCTCCATGATAGAAGTCGATTTTATCTTGTCGAGTAGGGAGATAACTAGAGACTTCTGCCGTAAATGGTGCTGCTCCGTTTCGCCAGACCTCACACCCCTGCAGCGAAGACTGAATAAATTAAAATCGGCAAAAAACCAGCACCAAGATAATGACACCTACTGTCAGTCTGAATAAGTCCTCTACGACACCATCTGCGGCATTTGCACCTCACGGCATAGTCAATTCCGTAGGTAATTCGATGACTTTTGATGCTGAGCTCTTTAAACACACCATCACGCCTGGTATAAACACGCCTCTATCGACTCCCCCAGCAACCTCTAGTAAGCCTAAGCATGTGTCTAAGTCAAAGGCAAATCCAATTGCTGTCTCAACCGCTCGGACACCCAATAAAGCCAGCACCATTATAAAATCTTTAACTCCACAATCGGCTAACAGTGCCTCAAATACCCCGACTCAAAACGTAGCGGGTTCGCAACTGCCCCCCAGCCCTCATATCGAGGCATTTAGGCCGAATATGCCGATTTTTCCGCCGTTTAATAAAACTCTTGCTCCAATGGAAACAATGCGTCCCCCACCCCCTAAATTGTTTCCTCCACGGCCGTTTTACCAATTTATTCCTCATGATAATGTCCATATTGAATCAGTTAATTCATCCTATCCTCAGTTTCGTTCCGGCGGGAATACGTTGCAGTATCTGGCCCGCGGATTTCCAGCTGAAAATAGGTTAGCTAACAATGGTTACCAGTTCACCTGTCCGTCATTCCCTCCCCCAAGTCCTACCCCTTTTTATCCACATCAGACTTTTTCGATGCCACAAAATGCTTTGCAGAACCCGATGGTTGCATCCAGACCATTTGCTCCGTGGGCAGCCCAGAACTGGACGATGTAGCCCACCTCCCTCAGAAACAAACAGCCTTTCCCTTCAAACTTTTTGTTTTAAATGCCAGATCCTTGCTTAATAAGATGCCTTTGCTTCAGACTCTGGTGCTCGTCCATTGTCCAGACGTGGGCATCAGCCTCAGTAGCTGACTCCGAACTCTCTCTTCTAGGCTATTATTGTATCCGAAATGATCGCCAAGATAGCCGTGGTGGGGGCAGCTGCGTCTACGTTAAGCAAACACTTACATTTTTGCCGTTGGACCTCCCGCACTTTTCCGCAGTAGAAGGCAGCTGCTGGCTCCAGGTTGCACTAAAAAATAAGTTCTCCTTACTCATTGGCTGCGTCTATCGTCCTCTCAACGCCAACGACAATTTTGATCGTTTACTCTCACAGGCATTTCATGCTGCGGCCGACTCAAGCTTTAAGTATCAATTGATTGCGGGTGACTTTAATCTTCCCGAAGTCCGCTGGTCTCCGCCTTCAGGCCTAAGAAGGTTCGAAGACTTTCTTGAGGCTGTGGATGTTGGGGTGTGGAATCAGGTTGTCGATTTTCCTACCTGAGGCTCAAGCATACTTGACCTAATTTTCTGTAGAGGCTGCATGTCATCGTCGGTGTCATCCCTAGGCCCACTGGGGGGCTCAGACCATGACATAGTTGTTTCAGCGTTGGAATTCGAGGCTGACAAAACGTCGTCCCCAAAGTATACCTTTTTCCGAAATTTCCAATCAACTCACTCAACCGAATTATTAACACACCTTAATTCCTACGACTGGACTGAGTTCTTCCTTAGTTCGGATGTAAATGTTTGCACTGCAAAACTGTACGAAATTTTGGATCCGCTTATTTCTCGTTTTGTCCCCCGAAAGAAAATTATTACTGTTGGGGATGAGGTTTTCCTAGCTTTACCCTTTCGTCGCAGATAGCGCAGGCTTTATCGTCGTTTCCATCTTCAGAACGATGTTTCTGTCCTGCCCTTGATTCGTGATATTTTTGATCGAGCTAAGAGATTGTCTGAAGAAAAACAGCTAGCCGAAGAGGTCCAGTTTACCGAAAACCATTCGTTAAGTGTCTCGAAACTTTTCTGTAGAAAAAACGAACTTATAGAAAGACGCAGCATCCTATCCTCGGAGACGCTCTCGGAAATCCCATAGTTGATGCACAGTTAACCGCTGATAGCTTGAATGATTTCCTGTCCAAAACGTTCATTGAAGACTCGACCACTCCGCTTCCGACCATCCAGCCATTGACCGGGGCAGTTCTAGAATAGAATAGGTTTATTGTAGCGCCCCTTGGGCACTGTCAGTCCCCTTTGAACTCAGGAAAGAAACCTAAAACAAACTCGTCAATTTCAACTGCACTTTGACTTCATTTGCTTCGGGTGTCTGGTTAGCCAAAAGAGCGCGAATTGAGAGTTTGTTTTAAGTTAAAAAAACCTCAGTTCTAAGGGAAAATAATAACAAAATTTTCAAAAAATAGCGATATGCACAATATAAAAATTGAAGTTAGCAGTTTGATAGTTTCGGGGGCATGAATAATATGTCCTTCATGGCAATTAAAGAACATTGATATCGGCCTGACCTTGAAACTATAACTTTCACTCTGTGGGATGTGACTGTTGCGATTCGGCGTTTTCTTCAATCTTATAGTCCAGGCCCTGATGGTGTCCCAGTAAGCATTTTAAAAGCCGATGCAAACACGATCTTCCCATCCCTCTTATGCAAGATATTTAATCTTGCTCTTGAAACTGAAACCTATCCTACCTTGTGGAAGGAATCACACATTTTGCCCATTCCAAAGCACGGCAAATCTACATAATTTGATGACTTTCGGCCAATAAACACCCTCCCCACAGTTTCGAAGATATTAGAGACGTTGATCAAAGATAAAATGATGTGTCACTTAACAGTGAATAACCTACTGAGTGCTGCTCAGCAGGGATTCCTCAAAGCTCCATCTTGTGACACCTGTCAACTCTCTTTCTTTGACTATGTTCTCCAATCTAGGGACCATGGTTTTGCTCTTTACACAGTATATTTCGATTTCACTAAGGCTTTTGACCGTGTTGACCATGCTCTTCTCCTCTTGAAATTGTCCTCTTTCGGAATAGGTGGCAAACTTTTGAATTTTATATCCTCTTATTTGGGCACTCGTACACAACGAGTTAAGATTTCCCATACTACCACCAACCCCACACGTGTGAGAGTGGAGTCATTCAGGGTAGTGTACTCGGCCCGCTTTTATTTTGTCTTTTCGTTAATGATGTACCCGATTTATTCCAGAACGGTAAGCTTTTTATGTATGCCGATGATCTTAAAGTTGCATATCGATATAAGCCGGCAGATCGTGACACCTTGCTCGAGCTCCTAAAGAGTGACCTACAGGCCTTTGACCAGTGGTGCCGCAAATGGCTCCTTTCTCTTTCTTGGCATAAGGGCTCAGTCATGGTGGTTGGCGACGACCACCAACCTCAACTATGCATGGAACGTCACTCCATAAATGCGCCTGGGGTTATTAAGGATCTGGGCATATCAACTCCAAGAGTCTCAATCTCTCGGAGCACTGTGCCTTGATAGTCTCCAAAGCACGCAGAACGGCCGGCTTTATCCTCCGAAACTTTAAAACTAGGGACCTCAGAATGCGCCTTTACAACATGTACGTTAGACCTGGTCTGGAATACTGTTCGTTTTTATTTAGCCTCATGCGTGCTACTGAGCGGAAGAAAATAGAATCCTTTCAACACTTTTTTACCAAGAGAATTTTAACCGCGGAACACCGACATCTGTCTTACCAAAAACGTTGCCGGCTTACGGGCCTTGATCCTTTATGGTTCCGTAGATTACAAAAGGGACTATTTTTGCTAGTTAAACTCTTATATAATCACACACTTAACCCACTCACTTCTTCAAGACATCATATCCACCCACGACGTATCAGTCACCGTAAGGTCTTCTTGTTTCTGCCTCTGGCACGTGCTGTTAAATATCGTCGGTTCTATTCTGTAAATGCAATTGCTATTTGGAATAAACTACCAATGAGTGTGAAAACTCTGCAAAATTATCGTTTATTTAAGAGAACTATTACTCGATTTTTGCATTCAGAAAAGCTTCCTCAAATTTTGGGTTCTGAATCCACTGATCGGCTGTACCGTAGCGATGGCGTTTGTGGTCTCTGAACACTATGGCCGGTCTCACCAGCTGTTCCTCAACGCCTCTACTTTGACTATCCCCAACTTCATGAAAGGAATTGACGTCCGATGATCTCCGATACCGTGCAACCCCCTCCCCCCCCTTGACAGTCGAAAATCTACCGCCAGCAGTTTTTTTTCTCCTGAACCCTTCAAACCATAAAAACCATCATCAACTATATTTTTATTCTTCAAGAGTTATTTTTCCCTGCTGGTCGGATTTGTGTTTAATCGCTTCCCTTGACAATGCCTGTAAACTGGCATTTAATAAATTAAATTAACTTAAATTAAATGCCAGGCGGCAAATTTCGCAGGATCGTTCAGGTATAAATCTATGCGGATTAGAGCTCAGAAGCCGATTAAATGGACAGAAGACTAGGATTTCATTGAAAATTTGTTATGACCCGCCTGGTACTTGAAATCCCGTGGAGCGTATACGCACTCGACCCTGGTCCCCAATATCAAGGCAGCAGACAAAGAACACACGGCTGGCCACGGAACGTGTATTAGCAAAACGTATTAGCAAGTCCCGTCTAGCTAAGGGTGACGCATATTTTTTCACACGCTAGCGTGGTTCGCCGGCACTCGGTCCAATGACCTTCGGGAAGAGGGGAGTAGCCAATGGGAAAGCGCCTGATTGAGATGACAGCGCGGTAGAAAGAGAGCAAACGCACGTGATCTCCATTGATTGGTTTGCTCTTGTTTTTGGGAGTGTAGGCACTCCCAACACCTCCCCTCCAAGTGGGTCAATACCGCTTTTGGCGTGGATTGATCTGCATCGGCAGTGTTGATCGGCGCACGCGGTTGGTCCGGCGTCTTAGTTGTGGTTTGTTGTCTTGAGACCCGGGGGCAGTGACTGATACCGAAGGCGGTACATCCAAAGGTAGCGCAGCAGTGGGTTCGGGAACTGACCGATCTGCCGGAATGGCGAAGTATCCAGTAGGATGTCAAGAGAGAGTGACGGCGCCGAATCGAGCCCAATTGTGTTACTGCAATGTCGCCGTCGGATCTGGTTGTGGTGGCGAACCCAGATGTCATCACCAACGTCGACGTCAAACAACATACTGCCTCTGTGCGATACTACGGTTGCTTCAATCCAGTCTGGGAACCCCGCTCGATAATCACGAACGAAGACAGGTGTTCCGATGGAGAGCTTGCTGCGAGAAACTGGAGAAGTCTGCGCGGGCTGCGCACCGGTAGGGACGAGGGCATGAAACGTTGTACGCAGTTTTCGGCCCATCAACGCTTCGGCAGGAGAAACGCCACCAGGGGACGCCACCGGTAGGGACGAGGGCATGAAACGTTGTACGCAGTTTTCGGCCCATCAACGCTTCGGCAGGAGAAACGCCACCAGGGGACGCCGGGTTCGGTGTTGTCCTGTAGGAAAACAGGAATGCCTGGACTATCTCGTCCGTGGTCCCCTCCCCACGAGCTTTCATGAGGGCTCTCTTAAACGTGTCGACAAAACGCTCCGCCTGACCGTTAGACTGAGGATGGTTGGGCGGGGAGCGAAGGTGCTGGATGTTGTGCTGGCGGCAGAAATCCTCAAACGACGACGAAGTAACCTGAGAGCCATTATCTGAAACCAGGACTTCTGGTAAGCCATGTTGGCTAAAGATGCTTCGTAGGAAGGCGATAGTGGAAGATGCGGTTGCTGGATTCAGCGGAGCAATCTCGGGCCATTTCGAGTAGGCGTCAACCAAGATTAGGTAGGAGACTCCGTTAAGTGGGCCAGCGAAGTCGATGTGCACGCGTGACCAAGGCCTCTCTGGTGGTTCCCAGGGTACTGGCGGTTGACGAGGCGGCATCTTGGCAGCTTGCTGACATCGAGAACAGCGTCGAACCAGGTCGTCGATGTCGCCGTCGATACCCGGCCAGTAGGCAAAACTGCGAGCAATAGACTTCATTCGGCTGGTACCAGGATGAGCCGCATGGAACTGGCGTAGTACAGTGGGCAATAGACTTCATTCGGCTGGTACCAGGATGAGCCGCATGGAACTGGCGTAGTACAGTGGGTCGGAGGGAAGATGGGATCACCACACGGTCTGCAAACATGAGGCAGGAGTCAACCACAGATAGCGATGCTCGGCGGAGGAAGAGCTGGCGAAGATCGCCAGTTAGAGCAGTGGCTGGCCAGCAGGTCTGCACGTAGGTGATGGCCTGACGGAAGACAGGATCCTGTTCAGTAGCACGTCGGATGTCCGCGGCAGTGATGGGGATACCTCGTATGGCGTCTGATAGCTGACGGCGCACATCGTCCTCAATCGAAATAGCTGCAATCACGGTATCTTCCTCCGGTTCCTGCTGATTGCTGATGAGGCGAGAAAGGGCGTCGGCCTGACCAAAGTCTGTAGTACGACAGTAGCGAATGTCGAAATCGTAGCCAAGAAGGATGGTTGCCCATCGCTGAAGTCGGCTGGCTGAGTAGACGGGAATGCCCTTCTTCGAACCGAAGATTGACAGCAATGGTTTGTGATCCGTCAACAACGTGAAGTGGCGACCGTACAACAGTTTGTGAAATTTCTTGACGGCAAACACGAGGGCTAGAGCCTCTTTCTCTATTTGCCCATAGTTCTTCTCCGCAGGGGTTAGCGTGCGAGATGCATGCATGATCGCCTTTTCAGACCCATAAGGAAAAGTATGTGAGATGACGGCACCAACTCCGTGGTTGGAAGCATCTGCAGCAACAACGATCAGCAGCGTCGGGTCGTAGTGCGTGAGCAGCAGATCTGAACTCAGCATCGACTTTAGCTGGGCGAAGGCCTTTTCACAGTCGGGGGACCAGCACCAGGGAGCATCCTTCTGCAACAGACGGTTGAGCGGGGCCCGTACGTCATGCAGCGATGGTAGGAAGGCGCTATAGTAGCTGATCAGGCCAAGGAACGAACGACGTTGCGATACATTCTTGGTGGCAGGCATCCGTTGGATGGCCCGAATGTTTTCAGGATCTGGATGGCGACCATTGGCGTCAAAAACGAATCCAAGGTACTTGATGGAGTCGAGGAAGAACTGGCACTTGTCGGCCCATAGGCGAAAGCCATACTCCTGCACGCGTTCGAGTACTGCGCACACTCGGTCTTGCAGCTCGGCAGGGGAGCGACCCACGATGATGATGTCGTCCAGGTACCCAGCTGTGCCAGGGATGCCGGAGAGCATTGCGTTCATCGTTTGTTGAAATAGGGCCGGGGCGGTCTTGACACCAAAGGGCAGCCTGGTGTATTGGAACAGACCGCGGTGGGTATTGATGGTCAACAATTCGCGCGACTCTGGGGCGACCTCGATCTGCAGATACGCATCAGCGAGATCCAACTTGGCAAAGCAAGTGCCACCATTCAGCAGGGTGAAAAGATCTGGCGGAACCGGTAATGGATAGCAGTTCGGCGTCAGCGCGGCATTGAGACCGGTGGAGAAGTCAGCACAAATGCGGACCGAGCCATTGGGCTTCTTAACCACAACGATTGGAGAGGCCCAGGCGTAGTAGGATACAGGAACCAGAACTCCCAGTTCCTCTAGACGTTTCAGTTCAGCCTCGACAAGTGGTAGTGCTGCATATGGGACTGGTCGCTTTGGACGGAAGACTGGTTGACTTCCAGGAGACAGATGTAGCACGGCTTGAGTGTATGTGCAACGACCCAGGCCGTCTTGGAACACTGGAGCAAACCGTTGGAGAATGTCCTTGGCTTGGTCTGCAAGCACAGCGGGAATCTGCACCTGACTGCAAACAATGCGGAGCGGCATATCGGCCAACCCAAGTTGTTCAATCCAGTCGAGACCAAGTAGGTTTAGATCAGACTTGGTGATGTAGCAGATCGCAGTGATGCTGGTACCGCGGAACGACACACAGCATTGCAGCTGCCCAATTAGCTGTACGAGACCACCGCACGCGCTTGTGGCGGACTGAGAAGTCTGCTGCATCGTTGGGCTGCCAAGGGACTGCCAGAGTCTCTCAGAGATGATGGTGATATCTGAGGCAGTGTCCAGCTGTAGACGAACTGCATGGCCATTGAGCAAGACATCAACAAATTTTCTACGGCCAGACGCATTGAGCTGGAAAGCGCCCAAAAGACTGAGAGAATTACCCACGGACTGGGGTTTGGGCTTGCGTTTTGACCGGAAACGGTGCCTGGAATTAGGAGTGGCGGGGGCTGGCTTGCCTCCAGAAGCTGGTACTGATTTGCAGAACCCATCACGGTGTCCCACCTGATTACAGCTTTGGCAGCGATGCTGGCGGAAAGTGCAATCCCGGTGGAAATGCCACGCGCCACAGTGCCGACAAGGAGATGGCGGAGATCTCGACTTGGACATTTGCTTGGGCCGTGTAACAGGATGCGATTTGGTCGATGTGACCGTATGGACTGAGAAAGATGAGGCCGGGTTCTGAATCATTGCAGAGTCGTGCTTGAGATTGATCAGCGTTTGGCACTCTGCTGCCAGCTCTTGGAGTGTGGTAGAGTTGTTCTGCTGCACTTTGGACAGGAGACGTGTCCGGATATCAGCATCCTTGGGGGACTGGAGGCCGCAGATAAATATAAGGCATTTAAACTGGTCTTCAGTGAGAGAACCGAGTTGGAAACGCCCACACTCACGATTAACAATGCCCGCGTACGTGATGAAATCATTGGAATCTCGTTTGCACAGTTGCAAGCACTGAAATCGAGTGTTGAAGAGGGATGATTGCTCACCAAAAATCTGCGACAACGTCTGAACCGTGTCCTTGAAAGCGACTTCCCGGGGATTGTTGGGAAGGATGAAGTTTGCATAACGCTCGTTTTCAGCCGGACCCAGTTTGCAAAGTAGAAGTCGGACCTTCCATGCATCGTCCTGGGCAGCCAGATCGACAGAGAACAAGTCCTCGTATCGCTTGTACCAGGACTCAAAGGTGATATGGGCCTGCGGGTCATACAAGAATTCGGTGATGCTACCGGCAATGTGATCAACAGATTGTGAACCACCAGCCGCGCTTGATTGGCTCATAGATGAATTGGATAGCTTGACGGTCAGCGCCTGCATCAGCTTCAGCTGCCGCTGCAACATCTGCTTCAAGTCTGCATACTCGTCAGCCATTGTAGTTGAGAACCTGCGTCGCCAATTTGTTATGACCCGCCTGGTACTTGAAATCCCGTGGAGCGTATACGCACTCGACCCTGGTCCCCAATATCAAGGCAGCAGACAAAGAACACACGGCTGGCCACGGAACGTGTATTAGCAAAACGTATTAGCAAGTCCCGTCTAGCTAAGGGTGACGCATATTTTTTCACACGCTAGCGTGGTTCGCCGGCACTCGGTCCAATGACCTTCGGGAAGAGGGGAGTAGCCAATGGGAAAGCGCCTGATTGAGATGACAGCGCGGTAGAAAGAGAGCAAACGCACGTGATCTCCATTGATTGGTTTGCTCTTGTTTTTGGGAGTGTAGGCACTCCCAACAAAATTATCGTGCAAGGAGTTTTGCTATAGAAGGTGCTTTGTGCACGCACCGATAGTTATTAAAATTGGACCGAGATCCGGACCTGAAGACAGGAATGATAGATGACCTTTTTCATGTTTCAGGAAAGAATCCTTCTGAAATATAAGCCGAGCACAAATGACTAAGCAACATGGAAGATCGGATGTTGACAGGACTAAGCCAATTAAGCGATTTCTATTAAAAACCAAATGGCAGTTTGTCGAGTGCAAGCCTGAAGTTTACATGTTTTTCGGTTGACGTTTGGAGTGCTGATTAACAAACATGGCAGTTTTTCCCGGTGCATAGGCATTTATCGATGGAAACGCGAGAAATTTAGCACGGGCGGATCCTAGATATGACGTATTGTTCACAAAGTGCAGTGTTTGGCATCAAGGACCGTCGTTGGTGAATTCTGTGCAGAACTTGTGGAACGGGTTGGAACTTTCACTTTAGCTTTCATTTTCCTCCTGTTATCTATCAGCAGTATCGACGATGGCGGGTCCGGTATGCCAACGTCTCTGGCCACCCTAAGAGTCCGTCTTTTGATTAGGTGTTCCCTATGCATCGACCTCCCACTCCTTGTCCCTAAAGCGAATCATTTATAATATTAGATTTTTAAATCCCCTCTCCTTTTCGCATATCTGTCGCAATCTGTAAGCCTATACATCTTATTTACGTTTTTGTCTGGCTGAGTGTTGCGATTATGGATGCTAGTGGAAGTCAGGGCAATTCCGAGGCTAATAAGCTGTTATGGTAACCGATCGACAGAATTGCTGAGATTCCTATCTCGAAGGATGTCTCAGCCCCGA